CCACTATCATGAAAACCAATAACTTCATCAGCCTTTGTATTATAATATAAATGACATTTTAATGATATTTCATCAAAGCATATCACACAAATTTTTTCAGACTCTTGCATAGTAGTAAATTTAACGGCTAATAAATTTAATACGTTTTGGTTTAAACCACTCGTAATAGAAATATTAGTTGTCATTCTATTGAGAGTCTTTCTGGCTGGCAAATAAAATATTGATGACAACATCCTGTACGTTCTTGGCCCTTTAAAATATAAATTCAAGCACAATTGTTTAAGTTGTAGAGAATACCTCCGACCTTGGTATTTTTTCTTGCCAGATAATACTTGCTCTCTTACGAACAATGCTATTAGAGGTGACATAAATTTTTCACAGGCATTCAGAAATTGATCTTCAGTTACATCTTCAATTCTTTTGATTATTCCACGCAGAGTGACAATCTCTTTTTCTAGGTTTTTTATTTTTTGTTGTAGCTTTAATTTTCTCGGAGAATGAGCAGATAAAGACTGCGGAGTTTGAGTAACTTTATAAATACTTTGACTGTGTGGCAGTTGGGCTCCTCTGCTGTCCTTAACACACTGGGTTCTTGATGCACTGGGACGCTCTGCAGTAACTACAATATTAGAATCTGTCACACTGCTGTTGTTTGCTGCAAAATCGGTAATTGAAATCTGAAGACAATTGGTGGTGTCAACTGGTTCCAAGTTCACGTAATTGTGTTCCACTTGTACATCATGCTCTGCAGAAAACTGCAACCTTTCTTTCTCTTCCAACGAACGAGTGATTTGTCGAATGCCAGATGAAGTGCCAGCGCTTACATTTGCACAATCCTGAAATCAAATTTTACAAAATATATATTTAACATTTAAATCCATTCCCAATTCAGTGTTGCGTTTTTATTCCTTGCAGAGATTACAATTACAGAGGAAAAGAAAAATGAATTAACTTTATCAGCTACAGTACATATGTAGTATTATCAACTCAATTCTTTTATATTCTTTATTTGATCATTTCTTTACTTACCATATTATTTTCAACACTTTCTAAATTTTCTGTCAAATTGAGAGTTGGTTGAGCTACAGGAAGCAACCGGTTTTTTAAATCATTTGCATACATTCTGTCTTCAAAGTGATCGCTGCAAACTATATTGCTGAGATATACCTTTTTTGGTGACTTTTCCAAAAGATCTTCTCGACCACATACAATTGCCCATTGTCTTAACCTAAAATAAGTAAATTCAATTTTTATATTTTATGATTTAAAGTACAAAAAATTGTCCTGTAATATGTATACAGTCTTGACACATACTAACCGTTCAATATCCTTAGGAAAGTGAAAAAAATGGCAATTTGGTTTTGTGGTTTTATTTCGGCACTTTTGAACGCTGCAAATTCTATATCCTCTCTTTTTATCCATTTTATACGAAAATCAGCTCCAACGTATAAATGTATTTACACGTTATTCGTCAAGCCACGCAAATTTTTCGTCAACACGCAATTTCTCAAAGTCACACCGACTTTGCACTAACACACGTACAAAAATCCTGTGATTGGTCATAATAAAAACATGTCGGATGCGCAGTACGGATCGGCGCGAACGTGAATATGAAAAGGCGCCTGCAGGCTTCTCTCTCTGGTCTGGTTTGCACATGAGTTTCACTACGAGACCAACATGGCGATCAGCCAATCAGTAAGCGAGAGGTCGATCACGCTTCTCTGATTATTTAGGCCTCTGGTCGCTCACATGTGCCCCAGATCACAGTGTGCATAGTGTGATTAGCAGGCGGAGAGATAAGCAACATTTATAATGGATATAATAATTGATACGAGAGGTGATTCCGGCCTGACAAACAAGGATCAATTAATAGACAGCGATGATGACGACGATGTCGAAATTAATACCTTCGGCAATTCTACCATCGGTAATTATATCCACACTTACTATCTCCGTAAGGTTAAGATTTGACGTGGAGTATATTATTTAGCTAGTTAAGATCATTGTCGAGTATTTAGGATAATTAAGTCGTAACTCGTCATTCTTTTCACAAATTGTCTTATTTCTCGTAGCTAACATGCAAGCGGAATATATTATCTCTTTTTAAATTTTGCGTTTTTTCTTAGCGAGGCAACTAGAGAAGAAAAAAGCACTGCATTTCGAGCAAAAATTTGGACAGTAGTATATACCTGGATGTTCAATTAATTCGACCTAACTGGCCACTTTATTAAAATTTAATTAACACGACGTTTCGGCCATGGATTTTGGCCCTTTTCTAGTGCATAGAGTAATCTAAAACCATAATTCAATTACATTTGTGTACAGTTCTCAAATTTAGAAAGAAATCAGAGACAGAACGAATAAGTGAAATTTCGGTACCTAAGTCATAATCCTATCTATCATTTAATATATGTGTACATCGCATTGTTTCTGAACGGTGTCGTAGCATGTCGTAAATCTAAAGTTGGATTACAACAGATTAATCAACGCATTTAGACAGTGGGTTTAAACGGTTTTTGCAAGTAGTATATAATGACTGATAATGTAGTGTCGCGTAATATCGCAGAAGAATTAGTCGCATTATGTGGTACATTGAACTTAAGATCGCTGGTCCCTAAAGTTGACCTTGTTTAATGACGTCAGAAGCGGAAAGTGAACACTAAGACACACTAAGAATTCTTGCGTTACATTTTTAAATTAAAAGGTATTTTGATTTGGAAAAACGTTCATTTTACAGCATTTTATTAACTTTCGTGGGAAAAGAATAGCTTCGAACAATCTTATAATCTGCTTGTTCTGAAACGATATCTGAAGTGTTTTTTTTCAATCTTTTTACTTAAAGATCTCAGCTGTCGTTTCTCATTTCTGATGTCATTAAATGAGAACGTTATTAAACTGCAGCAGGGATCAGAAGACTTAAAGCATATACACTTATTAGACATTGTTTTTCTCTGATTAGGTATTGATTCAACGATGATATACGACTTGGATTATCTAGGCATTGAGAAAAAAGGGCAACCGAAAGGAAGGAAGCTCGCTTCCAGCAAGGACTTTGATCTTGAAAAGTTTGAAGCCGACATGGGTTGGAGATCTACGAAAGAGACTTCAGAGCCAATGGACGAATTAGCGTACATAGAAAAAGAGGTGAATCCACTGGACAAGATTTTGGCGAAGAGCGTTATTAAATCTGACTTTGAAAGGCTGCACGTTGTACCGCCCTACGTGTTGAGTAAACGCCAATTGGAAATGCAGAAACGACGCGAGAAACGAAGGATGGGCGCGGGCGCGGGGTGGTTCAACATGCGTGCACCAGAAATTACACCAGAGATCAGACACGACCTCGAGGTGTTAAAAATGAGATCTGCACTGGACCCGAAACACTTTTACAAAAAGAACGACACGAAAGCGCTGCCGAAGCACTTCCACGTTGGCAAAGTCGTTGACTCTCCGATGGACTTCTACTCCTCGCGTCTCACGAAGAAGGAACGTAAGAGGACGATTGTCGACGAGCTTATGGCAGACGCGGAATTCACAAAATACAACAAACGTAAATACAAGGAGATTATCGAGGAGAAGCAGAAGACGCACTATAAAGCGCACAAACACGCGAGGAGGCTTAAGGGAAAGAGGAAGAAATAATATTTGTCGTTACTATCTATATTTGAGAAATAAAGAATTATTAAAAATTCATCTTTATAAAGTTAAATAGTAATAAGTAGCTTTTCGATTTATCTCGATTCCGTTTTACTTTGAAATTTTACAAGGTGGGGTTCAGGTTTGAATTTGGTGTTTCCACCGAAGCGCTCACCTCAACCCGATTCTGATTTTCGGTGGAAACTTTGTTAATGGCCGGTATTCATAGTCTATTCTTATTTCAAAATCATCTTAAGGCCGATATTCATAGTCCGTTCTTATATTTAAGATCGTCTCAAGTATATTTGTAATGTATTTTCAATCAATCGCAGAGCCGTATTGGTATAACTAGTATGCCCACTCTGTCATTTGTTTTGTTTTGCGCCGATCCTTTCTGCGCATTCGCCATTACCTTGGTGTGGCCAATGAGACGGATGTTGTATATGTGGTAGTGAGACAGTGTGAAAGGATTTTACACACCGAAGTAATGGCGGAATACCACGTGAATGGCTGCGTTCAACAGAAAAAGCTGTCTTTGCAACTGTTGCAAAATTCTTGAATCTGATTGGCGTATTCTCTTAAGCTTGAGTGAATTTAAGAGCATACGCCAATCAGATGCATGAATTTTACAACAGTCGCAAAGCAGCTTTTTCTGCTGAACGCGGCCATTGAAACCAAAAAGATCAAAGGGCCGACAGAGAGTGGGCATACTAGTTATACTATGCGCGTATCAAATAGTGTATTTCAGCCGATTAGCCAATGAACGAATCCATTTTCTAGTTATTTACTATTTCACATGCGTATCAAACAATCGGTGCAAACTAGGCCATTCAGAGAAGCGGCGTCTCGCTTGCTGATTGGTTGATCGCCACGTTGGGCCCGCAGTAAATCCTATGTACAAACTAAGCGTACCGTAAATAAGAAGATGTATTTGTAATGTTATTTTCTAAAAGAAAACATATTTTAGATATCCCCGAGACATTACTTCTTAGGTATACACGTTGCGTAGTTTATGCCCGTTTCTACCAATGCAAATTAACTTCGAGCCAGGCTTAAATTACCTCCTGCTCCGAGGCACACCACGGTGCAACGCTACATCGAGATGGGGCTCCATGTAATTACATTCGATATAACGCGAAATATCGAAAGTATTGAATTGTCACTGAACGGACTTTTAAGAGCCATTGTGACAAATTTGCAAACGCAAAAAAGATGAACGCGCTAACACATGATGAGAGAAAGAAAGAGAGACAGAGAGAGAGAGAGAGAGAGAGAGAGAGAGAGAGAGAGAGAGAGAGAGAGAGAGACGGAGAATGTGTCGCACGCGCGGCGGTTCTGATGCGCGTATGCGTTCGCAAATTTACAGGACTATATACGTGCATGCTTGGTTAAGGAGCAGTATGACACGACCTTATGTATATACACACACGCGTGCGCGCGTGTACACTATCTCTCTTTCAGCTCCTCTCTCTCTCTCTCTTTCTCTCTCTCTCTCTCTCTCGCTCGCTCTCGCTTTTCTCGCTCTCACTGATCGTGCACGAGGAGGGAGGGGGGATCGAAGAGAAGGTGGAGGAGCGAGAGCGAAAGACGAGCGACGAGCGCAAGGGCAACGTCGGAAAGCAGCGCGAACGTGCGGAAGAGTGGCAGTGTGTGTCGGCGTAGAGCGAGCGAGCGAGCGAGCGAGCGGACGAGCTAGGCGAGCGTGAGCAGTGGTGGTGGTTGGCGACTGGTGCCGTAGACGGACGGACGGACGGACGGTCGGTCGGTCGGTCGGTCGGTCGTTCGTTCGGTCGGTCGGTCGGTCGGTTTGGCGGTCGGGCCGTGATTGTGTGAAGAGGAACGGAGGAAGGGAAAAGGAAAAAAGGAGGAGGAGGTGGTGGCGGAGGAGGCGGAGGAAGTGCAAAATTTGCGGTGTACTGTGTGCTGGCCACGGTGTGAAAGAAGATAGTTCGGTTTTTGTGTGGGGTTCAAGCTCGTTGGCGGCGGTCTCAAGAGGGAAGATTGTATCGTCATATCTGAGAGGGTTCTCGCGCGCGCCTACGCGGACTGGAGCACCGAGGGATTTCCTACTTTTCTTCCCCTCCCCCGAGTATATTTCATCTTTCCTCTGTCTCTCTCTCTCACACATTCTCTCTCTCCCTCTCTCTCGCACTCTCTGACCGCCGGGGGCCCGTCGCTCGGAAGACGTGAGGGGACGACGACGCGTGGAAATCTAACCAAAAGAGGAACGTGTCACGAGGAAGCGCGATGTCCGACCGGGAGAGCCTGGACGATCAGCCGCAAAGTAAGAGCAGCCAGATGAAGCGCTATGATCGAACGCTCTCTTTCATATCCTTCTTTCGTCCTCCCTCTCTCTTTCTTTTCCCCCCGAGTTCTGTTTCCCGATCCCGCGACTGTTCTAGCCGCTATGCGGCGGCCCCGACCGCGGGCATCGCGTCGCGAACGGAGCGCGGCTCGCGCCGCTAACCGACATTCTTTTTTTTCCCTCGTGACCTTCGCCGGAGTCTGGTGCTCTTCTCGCGCGGCACGGCACGGCACGCCTCGCGTATACGCGGTTCAACCCGAGGGGAAGAGCCCTCGAGCGAGCCGCTCCGGCTTTCGGAGCTCGACGAACGGCGAACCCTCGCGCCTTCGTTCCGCGCGCGCTCTCTCTCTCTTTCTCTTTCTTTCTCTCTCTCTTTCTCTCCCGTCCGCGAGAAAGAGAGATCCGCGAGGGTCCCCAATCGCGGGGACGCGCCGCTCAACCAGCCCCTTCGCATCCCCGAGCCGTGCATGCACGATCGTCGGCCTCTCGCATCCCCGCGGCCGGTTCTGTCAAAGCGCCGCGCGAAAAGAATCGCTCTTTTTCAACGGCACCCAGGATTCAAGATGGCCGGCTGCATGTCGGCCGCGAGAAGATAGCCCCTTTCGTCCCCTACGCGGCTCCGCTCTCTTGCTCTCCTCCGTTCGCGAGCCTCTCCCTTCCTTCTCGCTCTTTATACGCGACGTGCGCGCACGCACGCACGTACGTGTGCGCGCGCGCGCACACAGGTACACACGTGCGCGCGCGCGCGCGCGCTCCTCAACGTATCTGCTGCTCCGGTTGCTCTCTCATGTCGATATTTGCAACTTTCGACATTTTGCCTCGCGTCGCAATGCCGATTACTTCTCTCTCTTCCTCTCGCCGCGAGCCGGTGACGAGCCGAGACCGAAATTCCCGACTCCGCGGTCTCCGTACGGCAGCCGCGCGCCCGCGGAGTCATCCTAACCGGAGCAGAGAGGCGCGAGCGTTCAAGCTTCGATCCTGCTGCATCCGTCCCGGCGCGCGGGAGCGCGCGTGCAATGCCAGCCGGCCGTCCGGATTAGCCGCAGTCACGTAAATTTCGCACACGTATCATGCGAACAATTCCCCTTCCCCCCTCCCCGTTCACCGTTTTATCTCCTCGTCGCTCTTCTTTTATCTCTCTCTCTCTCTCTCTCTCTCTCTCTCTTTTTTGTTTCCTGCTCCCTTTCCGCAGCGCGGAAAAGTATCCGCCGCACGGAGCGTGGATTGAGGTTAAATTGAAATTTGGCCGATCGAGGGAAAGTCCGTTAAATATTGAGTTTGGCGAGTGTCGCCCCGATCCCAGCGAGAAATGATTCGTCGATCGATGCCGAAACGATGTCGAATCGACGTCAATTTGACGGTATCGATGTCGCATTCGACACCGTTTTGACATCGATCGACGAATCATTTCTCACTGGGATGGCTCGGGCTTTTTATCCAACTTCAATTCGCGGTCCGAGGGTCGGCGGCCTTCGGGGGTCTGTCCGGACCAACTGGCATAGCTGACGAACGTATGCACAGGGGGGATCTGATTGGGCCGTAAACGCACGCGTAAGAAAGTATACCAATCAATTTCTCGACGCCCTGTGCTTACGCACCTGTGCGAGTTTTCGGCCCGGGCGGACCCCTAACCTCGAAAAGTATCGTAACGAGTGGTGCGCACCCCGAACGGGACCGCCGAGTTGTGCCCCCGTACTTCTCGCGTGCTCAAAATTCGTGGCTTCCTTCCCCTCCCCCCCCCTTCTCTCCTTTCCCCACACTTGCCGTTTTCTCGCTTCGATTTACCTGCCACATGCGCGCATCTTTCGCGCTCCTAACCTCTCTTTCAACGCTACGTCGCGTTGCGGGTAGCGAGAGTGGATGTTTAGGCTGACAAAAGAAAAAGAACAGGAGTAGCTAAAACTCAGAGTGGTATACAATTGAAAAAAAAAATAGGAAAGATGGTTTAAGACAGTAACGGGATGTCATTTTACGTTATATAACCTAGAAGACTGGCTGGAGGCATTTGCTCCATCGCTCGATGGAATTCCAAAAGACAAGTACCGCGATGTGACACTTGAGTCTGTTCTTTTCAGCTGAAATCGCGCAACTCCTTGGCGGTTCAGCCGTTCTCTCTTTCTTGCTGGCATAGGGGGGGGGGGGAAGAGGGAAGATAAACCGTACAAAAAGTCCAGTTAAAAAGAACAAACTCATTGATATTTATCCTCCCTCGGTTTCACTTCGTTCTTTAATTAAGTTCGTTCAGTTAACTCGGCGGCGCCTCCGCAGCTCGCGAGTATTCACTCGGATTATTTGTGATCCTGTCATAATTTTGCTAATTTTGCCGATTTAATGAATTCTGCTTACGCCATACGGTTTTGTAACAAGGAGAAAGCAATGTAAAAAGTCCCAGAGCTTGTAGTTTTATATATTCGAATTATTAATGCTAACGAGATATACAGGGTAAAAAATTTTTGCGTAGAAATGTCTGTTGTTAAAAAGTTATATTTTATAAATTGATAATTAAATTATACCTGAGACCTGGCCACATTTAGCTTTGTGGCTTATATATGAATATATTGAATTTATGTAGAGATATACTGAATTTAATAATATTAAATTAGCTAAGTTAACGCTTCAGTGCTTGTACCTTACACTGTTTTATTTTTGTCATCAACTAGTTTCATGGACGTTTGGTTTTTACCAGTATTTCTAACGTTCAAAATATTTTCGAAAGTTGTCTACACATTGTCGAAGTTATCATCGTTCCTGATCTGAGGCGTGAAACATATATTTGCAGAAATCTCGGCGTTCGTAAAAAATTTACATTAATTAGAAAATTGAAAGTATTGACAAAATGAATACATATTCTGGCATTCAAAACAGAAAAGTGTAAAAGCGTAAAGAAATTGTAGGAAATGTATGTAGAAAAGTAAAAAGAAAGGACAAATGAATTAATCTCACGTCTCTCTTTGTGAATAAAAATTGGATTAAATTAGTAGGATTTATTTTTCTTTCTGCATCATCGATTGTTTTCAATTACATAACGAGATAAATATCAGTGCTTCCTGCATATTAACCCTTTGAACATTTTTCCTTTCGGCCGATTTTTCTGAAACTTAGTACTTAAGAGTTTTTCAGGTTGCTGATTACGAGTCTGGTGTCAGAATTGCAAAATTCAAAATGGCGTATCTAAGATGGCGGGTTAAAATTGCAAAAATCAATCGACTTTTCGGAAACTTGGTACTTAAAGAGTTTTTTTGGGTCATTGATTACGATTCTGATATCAGAATTGCAAAATTTAAATGCAGATTTTGCCATGTTGAATCCGCTATTATAAATTTTGTAATTTTGGCCTCATATGTGTAATCAGCAACCTGGAAAACTTCCGAGTACCGCGTTCCAGATAAATCTATTGTATTTTTTGCCATTTTAACTTTTTATATTGGATTAAAAACTTTTCAAATTTTGACTTTAGATTAGAAACCAGTGGTCTCAAAATCCCCCAGATACCTAGTTTCGGAATGTCGTTTATAGGAATGATTTGTTCACGACAGGACATCTTATAGAAAACAAAATTTTTTAGTTAAAACTTTAATGTTGAACTGTTGTATTTAGTCAATTGTCGGTAATTTAAAATTATCGACTTCAAATTCAGAATTAGCGAAACAAAATCTTAAATACAAAGTAGTAAAGACATCGGAGTGAAAGAAGGGTTGGTTTTTTAATTTCGGGAGGTGTGACGTACGTCGCACCGTGCTTCAAAGGGTTAAAACCGCATTGTCAATCAAATGTATTGTAATTTGCCTATAATTTCTCTATAATTACATATTTGACTTTTAAATTTAACATAATATACTGGAATGAAGTTATTATTTATGAATTATTTACGTTTGCAATTATATTTGGCTGCAATGCAAATAATATGCTATCTTATATTCATATTTTATGTTTTAATGTGTATACCGTTGTCTGAGGCATAATTTTATGTCGTTTTCTTCTCACATCAACGATTATATAGAATATTTATAAATTTACTGCTCATTTTGTTGAAACAGATTAATTTCAAAGTTCTATAAATATTACTAACATTACCGTATTTATGTCTTAAAGTATAAATCATTGCTATTTATATTTAATATTATTTTCACGTCTGTAAGTTCTGTGATATACAATAGAGAGAAATGTGTATTTAAAAGGGATAAAATTCTAGAATCCTGGAAAGAAGTTTACCAAAACAATAACTTCATAAATTTTGAACACAGATTTGAAATTTACAAAGACTGATGTAGCAGACACATACATATGGAAAGCGTTCACTAAATTATTTTGTGAGATCTATTCTATTGACTTGATTTTCTTGTAACTTGCAAAGAATTGCATATCTATATGTATATCTTATCAATACATCAATTTCATTCAAAATATATTTTCTTCACCAAAATATACTTTACGAACACTTTGCACTGTGTTATACAAATGATTGTTATAAAAAAGATTACATATTTATGTCTATAAAGTATGTACACTAATAGTGCGCTTGTAATTATAATAAATGTAAATTTTTGTTTTTATAATGCAACAGTTAAGATTATTTACATACTGTTAGGTTAAACATTTTAACTAAATTCGAGTAATTATTTCTTATATGTGAGAAAGATAGACGTTATCTCTTATTTCTTTTCCGCAACACAAGTTATCTGGAATATTTATTCTATAAAAAATGGAATTGTGCTGACAGTAATTAGAGCCTGAGAACAATTCTCTTATGTATTCATTAAGCGCTACTCTAAGCACATCAATGTTTCTATGTTTTTTTGTTAATTAATCGTGTTGCTTGTCTTATTAGAATATGGGAACCCAGGAGGTTTGGATGCTGGAGGTGCTGACTTTGATTCCGGTGAGTATTCTATTGTACATAGTAATCGAGAGAAAGGAGGTAAACGAATTTTGAAGCTGATATATAATATTCATATAAAGTTTAAGCCGTTCCCACATTCAAATGCAAACAGATTTATAGCGAATTCGGTTACTTGAACCAGTGCGCACTCGCAGTCAGTGCGCACTAAGGCTTATTTACAGTCAATTCTTATGTTTAAGGATCGTTTTAAATACCTCTCGAAATACTGTTAGGCCAGTAAAATGATCTACGTAGCATCCGTACGATCATTTCTTTCGCTAGATGGTTTTTGAACATGTATTTAAGACGAACTTAAATAGAAGAATTGACGGTAAACAAGCTTTAGTGTTCACTCAGTGCGCACTAGTGCAAGCAATCGAATTCGCTATTAGTTATATAAGTCTATACATATGTGAACAATTGTTACATTTGATATTATATATCAGTGTAGTTATTGGTCCACAATAATTGACAATATTATTGATTAGCAAAATTATAATTGATAATTTTAAAATGTTACATGTACGGTTGTGGTCAGAAAGTTTGTCTAACCATTCATGATAAGTTTCGGAACGCCTATCATATCAGAAATTATAGCTTTCGCTAACGAAATACTCGTATGATTCCACGGATATTTGTAGAGGAGCGTCTCCGTGTGTGAGACATCGAATACATTTTTTGTAACTACCGAAAATCTATAAGCACAATTAAAAAATATAATAGCTCATTTTGAAGGGAATTTAATAAGCTTTAGGATGCCGAAATGTAAAATTCAATTCAATTATTATTATTTTTGAAAATTAGAAAAAGTACGCAAATTGAGTTTTACGTAAGATCAAAAGTGTGCTCTAGGTCTAAAAAGGCTCACTACACCATGGTCTCACATATAGGTCTGGAAACCAACATCCAAGTTTTAGTGGTGGGGGTGGTGACTCTATTAAGAAGATAGTGTATCGTTCGCGCTATCGTCACTGTGCGTCGCTACTAGTTCTGGAGTGTGGTGAGATATAGGCCGGTATTCATAGTCGGATCTTCTATTCAAGAGAGTCTTGAATTTATCTAAAGATTCTGAATGGAACATTTCATTGGCTACGGAGTATCTAAAGATGATCTTAAGACGGCCTTGAATACAAGATCTGACTATGAATACCGGCCATAGTCTCAAATGTGCAGTCTGTGAATCACGTGTAGCTCTGTGAGAACTGAAATTATGACTGTTTCAATAACCGCAAATTGTACAATAATTTTTGTTGAAATGCCTAAATCGTGTGCGGTATCGAAGTGCAATACACTGTATAGAACTATGAAACAAAAATGCTCTGCTTTTAAAGTGCCCAAAAATATGGAAATTATTCATTTTATGCGTCTCTAGGAAAGAACATCATTGTAAAATATTGATACATATTGTACATGTGGTTTTGTGTCATCATGTCGCACATAACACTTCTAGATCATATGCGGCACCTTGTGGCTGAAAATCGAAGTAAAAACATGGACATGAAGGGAGTCTACCCCCATCACCGTTACTTCCAGACCTGTATGTAAGACCGTGCACTATATACATCCGTGAAAAAAAAGCTATGACCTCTTGAATGATAGACCGCGTTCCGAAACTTGTCATAAAACGTCGGACAATCACAAAATTCATTAGGTTAATATAAAATAAATTAAAAATTTACTAAACTAAGAGCGACAAAGGATTTTATTATTATATTTCTTGTTAGAATAAAATAAAAATATATAATTACGTATGTGTATGAGCAAAATAAAATATGTTCATAATTAATTGTTTAAAAATATTAAGAGACAAAAACTGGGGCACTTATGACCTCATTAACTCTTTTAGGATGGGAGCATTTTAACGGAAATAAAATATCAAAAACATATTTTTCTTATAGTTTTGGAGTCGAGTTATTTACGAATCTGGCTTCAAAATTTCAAAATTATAAGGGCGCCGCCATTTTGGCTCCGTCATTTTGGCTTCGCACTTTAGATTAGAATTACTACGAAGAGCCGCTATATGTCACAAAAATCGTACTAACAGTTTTTAAAATAAAAGGCCTGGTCAATATAAGGATCGCTTTATCGGCCCCTATAGGGAACTCTTTAAAAATCAAACAAATTTCAGAAGAACATCTAGTATCAAACATATAGATTATTTAACCGGACGGACTAATCCTGAATAGGTTTGACGATAAATGAGCTTTTGAAAGTTGTTCGATTTTTAAAGAGTTAAATTAATATTGTAAATAATACTAACATAACTATCTTTTCTTGTGCTCCTTGTATAATATGAATGTTTTTTTTACATTTTAAAAATTATTGTAGTTTCCTGGAATATATGATATATATCTCAAAATTATTTCTTCATGATTATTTTTATGCATATATGTACAATTCAAGCTAAGAAATATCTAAATAGAATTTATCATAAAATTTGAGAAATATAATCTATGTGTATTGAAAAGCTACATAATATTTATTTGAGAAGATGTAAATGTATACTACATACTTTATAAAAATTTATAAAAATCATTTCCTGAAATTGCTCGGGTAATCAAATTTGTCAAGAACAGATTTCGAAAATGTTTCCTGCGAATTTTGTCGATGGAAAGTTAATAAAAATATAACAGAATCTACTAGACTATAATAACATTATAGATTGCAGAAACTGACAAGTCATTTCGAAACTCTGCTGTTTTGTTATCATTTAAATGATATTTTCCATTTAAATATTCACGAAACGACAGATCTGTTCTTGATAGATTTGGTAAAATACATGTTTGGCATAAATACACACACACATATACATATACACAGAGTTGGGAAGAACGCGTTACTTATAATACCGTTACCGTTACATATATTTTTCGGTAACGATCGTTACTTTTTGTCTGTAACGGTAACGGTAACGGTAACGTCGTTACATTTTTACAGCAATAGTAACGAATTTAATCGTTACTTTTATCGTTACCATCACCTATCGTTACCACCTACTTTTCGGGTGAGTTGCATCCTCTTTCTAGCTATTTGGTTATATCCAGTAATGCCAAAGACGCGGACACGATTGACACGAAAATCGAGTCCTAAGAATATGCACACAGAGGAACCATAGCCGGTTTAAGTAGAATAAGAATAATCAGACAGAAAGTGGAATAATTAGAAAGCAGAATAAGAATAATTCAATGAGAATAGAAACAAGTTTAAATAAATTTGTTTATGATAATTTTTTACGTTACAAGAAAGTAAAGAGACTACAGAAATTTGCCACAAATTGTTTACGATCTGCTGGAAAATAATCTGCTACGGGAAGTTAGCGGATCATTTTTTCCATCTTTTTTTTCAATATAAAATCAGAACCATTACTAAAAAGTATAAAGAACTATAGAACTCGATTGCACGCGATAAGGATTCCTCTTTATTTTTGATCCGCTGGAAAATAATCTGCTACGGGAAGTTAGCAGATCATTTTTTCCATCTTTCTTTTTTTATATAAAATCAGAACCATTACTAAAAAGAACTATAGAGCTCGACTGCACGCGATAAGGATTCCTCTTTATTTTTGATCTGCTGGAAAATGATATGCCAACTTCGCACACATGTAGAGTATAGCATCTGGAAACGTACAACGCGCACGCGGCAGCGAGCGGGCATTAGAGAGCAGTCAGCTGATTGTGACGTCACACGCCATGTCGTCGATAAATGCGAGCGATGGCGGTGGGGGTGATCCCGCGTCGCTGCTGCCATGCGCGCGCGTTTTGTGATTTAAAACACGGGAGTCACGTGGCAGCGTATAGCTCGCGTGGAGCTAAGAATCGACGGCCGCGGATTGGTCCGTGGCACGGCTCGTTGTCACCATGATGCGCGCATTCCATTGGCATGACAGCGGGCTCCGTGAATGACCGGCGCGTCATTCGCGTACGGATTTCGTGTTCGATATTCGAACGTCCGCGAAATGTACATCGCCTTTTCGCGGCTACTTTCGTTATCGTCGTCATCGTCGGCGATGACGATGATCTTGCGAACGTTCTCGTCGATGGAACGACGATAGCGCGCATAATTGGCGGTTCTTCCAATGCGATGTGTCATTACACGTTGACTTACATTAGTGTAGCTCGATACCGCCGGCACTTTTCCTCGTCGTCTGACCGTACCGAGTGCAGTACACCGCGTGCACGGCTCTGCGAACATTTTCACGAGATTTCGTGGCGCACTGGTTCTGTGGACACAAATTAACGTGGAAATATCTATCGGTTTAACTGAGCAACGTGAACATGAGTGTCTCGTATAATTTCGAATATCGTATTTCAGTGAATTGTTGGACTTGAACGTTACGTTTACGAGAAAGTAATTTCTATGTTCGGTGGTAATTGTGAAGTGCAATAATTAGCGTATAAAGTTCCTGTGCCTTGCGATATTTTCAAGTTGTTTTCTTACTATAGCTTAAAGTATTCTCCTATTTAAGACTTCGCTTGAAAGAAACAAGAACGTGAAGCAAGAAAAGCAATGATATATCGCAAATATTGTACAAAACTGTATAATATAATTGCTAAGAGTGTATTTTTGAAGTGTAAATATGAAGACTCGGAAAGTAAATTCATCAAAAACAAATTAATCTTTCTGTCGTAAATTATCGCTTATAATGATTCAATAATCGGAATGACTGGTTGGTGGTTTGAATTTGTTCAAGTAAGGAGGAACATCCAGAAAAAATTCACTTTTTAATTTTCGCATTTTCTTAAAATATAATTTTTTAAGAATTTTGTTTTAAAATTAATAAAAATCCAACAAAATAAAATTATAGCAAGCAGATAGCACGGCATGGCGTGTGTGTGTGTGTGTGTATGTCAATCTCAATTAGAACTAGCGGGAACTCTGTTCAAGTATAATAATTTTCTCTACTTTAGAGCGGAAGGTGTCGTGTTATAAATTCGCGCGCATACATATACGCACACGCACACGATTACATCGACTAAACACAGCAAGATTCTGATGACGAT